ACGAGTAGTACATATTTCACCTTTGACGGTCAGTGTTATGAGCAGACACAGGACTTGCAATGGGTTCTTGCTTAGCTCCAATTTCGGCGAGTAACCATGTGGATAAGTTTGAGGAATGCTTGCTGAAAGAGGTGATTCTGACTCGTAAATTGTTTGTTAAATATGTGGATGAGTATTTTGTAATCTGGTAGCATGGTAAAGCTAGCTCAGATGGTTTCTTATTTTCACTTAACCAGCGTGACAGAACTGCGACATTCACATTGGAATTAGAAGAAAACTAGAAATTACATTTTTTGGACGTTATGATTATTAGGAAAGATGGTAAGCTGAGCAGAGATGTTTGTAGGAAACCAGTATATGCTGATTTTGTTTTGAATTCTCTTTTTAACCATAGCTATGAAATTAAGGTGGCAATTTTACAATCTATGCTCATTAGGAGTATGAGTCTTGCGGAGGAAAATCATCTGACGGAAGGGTTAAGAAGACTGAAAGTGGAGTTCCTGGAGAAGAATAATATGGTATCTTTAATAAGGAATATATCTTCAAGCAGAGACTATTTGGTGAGAGAAAGACAAGCCGACACCATTTCTCGTAATACATGCGAAGAAAAGTTGGGTTTCGAGGAATCTCTTGTTTCATAATTGTTGAGCCTACTTCCATTTCGAGTGAAAGTGTTGCGTGAAGAGATTTGAAGGTCGGCTCCACCAGGAGACAACAGCTGATTCCTCTTGACCAAGTGTCGATTGGCTTTATTGGAACCTTCTTGTCGACGCTGTTTCCGAGACAACCTTTTTCGATTCCGGTGAAAAGATGCTTACCTCATCAGAGCGAGGTAACATCGTCACAACCAAACTGAAGCTAACGAGTCAAGAAAAGTCACCGGCAAATCTTTGATCAAGTATAGAGTGATTTGGTTAGTTACGGTCATATGTCAACTTCGATACCTGTGAGTGTGCCTGTCTCTGTATCTGTATGTGTATGTTTGTGTGCTCAACCAATCCTCGTGTTTTAATCTTTCCATCGTGTCTTTGTTCCAAGAGGGTAGGGGGACTAGTGAGAAAGTAGGGATAGAAACAGTTTTCAATGGAACTCGGACACTTTCTTCAATTCTACATTCTTTTGGGGAGAAATATGACCCATCATCTGCCTGTCGGCCGATCTACCAACAACTTGTTGCGTAATTGCATAAATGCTCGGGCGCTTAAGTAATCATTTGTGCAATGAGTAATTAAATTATTGAATTAATAAATGGCTGAAAGAGTATGTGTGTGTGTTTCAGTGTCTTGGTGATTGAATGGAAGAATGAAGGAGAAAGTAAGTGAATCGTTGAGCAGCAAGAAAACTACCGATTGGCAAAAAATGATGTGAAAATAATGTATTTTTTTAAGAATATTTCAATCCAAATGAGTGCCAGCAACAAGCATCATTGCTATCCGGAAACCGGTATTTTCAGACGACGCCAATCCAAGCCTCGTTCTTCCCTTTGGCAATAGACATTATTGGTAGGGTCGCAAATAGCGATCTTCTGCCAACTGGCATGACACCACAACCGGACTGGCGCGTTTTTTCACCCCACCCTCGTCCAGACGCTCGTAGTCGTGAGCCAAGCCGGGCCAGCGCATTCATTCACGATTCAATCAGTCAATCGTAAATTTTTCGTTTATATGAAGGCTGTCGAGACAACAAATAGCTCATTACGGCTGTATTCAACCTATTCTGTGTGGGATAAAAAGGCATGTATTTAC